GTGGGAACTATATGAGCATTACCAGTGTCATAATTAATTTTGATCATATAATTTCTCCCCAGTTCAAGAGTGTGGAATTCACAGTAAACAAGCTTGCTACCCACTGGCATTTGGGGTTCCTGCTGCTCTCATGGCTGTAGCTCTGAGTAAGTAGAAATCAGTTGAACTAATCTGAGTCTATGATTAGGTTAGGCCCTACATAAATGACTGTGGCTAATTTTTTGAAGTCCATGTAACAAACTGTAGCAAAAGGTAATACAAAAAAGTCGTCATGACAGTTGATCTCTATTTGCCTGGAGCAACAGAGGAAGAACCAGAGACAGAAATAGCAGGAGGAGATGGAATGTATGGCTAATTGCCTCCATGAATAACTGCCTCCTTTGCTATGAGACCAGAACTGGAGAGCGCCCAGCTACCATTACTGAACATTTTGATCTAAGATTCTATAGAGTAATCCTGATCAAAAGGGAAAAACTGCAGAATAGAATTTCAAATTCTTATGGACTCCAGACTTTAGGGAGCCATGGAGAGTGAATGAACCTCTGAAACTATTGCCCTGAGATAATGTTTAAACCTTAAACCAAGAATATTCCCTGAAGTCATCTTAAAACCAAACAATAGTTTAGGCTAACTAATAAAAAATGGCTACCTTGAGCACTATGCTCTTCTAAGAAGTATCTAAATGGATCAAACTGGCAACAGCAACTTGAAAGATTAGATAGGAATCTTCCAGGACAGTGAGTTTATGTTAAGGAGGGAGGAACAACTCAGAAAAAGAAGGTGATGATGGTTGCACAACTTGAAGAATGCAATCACTGTCATTGAATTGTACAATTCAATGTTGAATTGGTGCATATTTTGCTGTGTATATTCTCAGTAACAACAAAATAAATAAATACGAATTGTCTTCAGATGTTAAACATTTTCTGAGTATTCAAAGAAAGAGTTACCACATCATTTCAGAGGGAATGGGATCCAAAAAAGGTTTACAGGAAAAGCAATCAACTGAGTTGAAGATGTAAAGGTTTGATGCTAGTTAGGCAGATTAAGATGAGAGTGACAGAATGTAGTATATTAAATTAACTTGTGGATAAAAGCTAGAGTTTGCAGGAAGAAAGAGTAACCTGGTTTAACTGTTGTTGAGCTATTTCTGATGAATATCTACATTTCAAAAATATATCATCTCAAAATGTTTCTACTTGCACATACACACCCCTGGAAAGAGTATATAAGATGTACTGATTTGCACAATAGTTCTTGCTATTGGCTTTTTAGGAAATGTGAAAAGTTTTCTACATGGAAGAGTCTGACTGGAAAGATAGTAGTATGAGAAAGAAACAGAGTCCAGTACCATCTCAAATCTTCCAGCCTCTTTTTCCACGCAAACGAAGTACCAGTCAGCCACTATCATTTTATTTAATTCTTTTTTCAGTTCTTAAAAGCATCAAGTAGACTCCCTTTTTAATCTCTTTACTCATGTTTTAGCAGTTTAGCTTTATCCTTACATCTATGCTAAAACTCTATTCTCCCTTTTAATATGTCCACTTTCTTCCACAATTCCTCAGATACAGCCACACTTCCCTAGAAGGCCCATATACAACTTACCTTTTCTAATTCTGGGAAGCAAGACAGAAAGCATTTCAAAAAGTGTTGTTTTGTATCATACACTGTATTAAGTATTTTAAGTAAGTTCTCATTTAGTCTGTACAAGTCATTCTTATATCAAAGATTATGATTTTTCTTATAGAGGAAAAGAAGCCAAATCCTATGAATCAATATCACCTCTAGAAATTCCTACTTGCAACAACCTTATGCATAGATCAGGTTTTTGCTCTTCAGAAGCTTAAATATTAAAATATTAGTTGGCAGACAATGTAGACTTAATCTATTGAGCATCTTCTTGCATTGGGCAAGAATAGAGGTATTTCTTCCTCTATAAAGAACATCTATAATACAGGAAGTACTTTGAGATGTGCTTGGGAGTTAGTGCCTGTCAAAATCCCATTTCAAGGCCCTCTTGATTGAGGAAAATACATAGAATTTAAACTATCCATCACTGTTTTTAAATTACTGAATTGTGGAATTGGTGGTCAGAAGTCCTAGTAGAAGGACCATGTTTTGCAGTCCCTTGCAGAAATGCTTATTCTAAGTAATGTTCACAATATGTCTTTTGCTAAGGAGGTCCATGGAAGAACCACCTGACTGAAAAAGCACTTTTAGTATTTGTGCTACAAAAATATCCATATACATTATAGAACTAACAGGGGACAAGGTTGGGGTAGCTTCTTAGCCATACCTTGAGGGAGGGAATCAACAAGCCTGTGGGCTTGGGACTGTGGTCTTGGGGGGTATCAAGCTCAATTGGCACAACATAGTACATAAAAATATTGTTCTAAATCCTCCTTTGGTGAGTAGTGACCAGTATCTTAAAAGCTTGCAAGTGGCTGTCGAGGATGCAACTATTGATCTCCCCTTCTCTGGAGCAAAGAAAATCAAAGACATATGGAAACAATTAGTCCAAGGGCCTAATGGACCAGGGGAACCTCAGCCTTTATGACCCTGAGACCAGAAGAATTAAATAGTGCCTGTCTACCAATGCCAACCATTCAGAAAGGGATCAAAATTGGACATCTTGGATAGAGAGGAGGGGAAAATGTGGAACAAAATTCAAAAACACAAAAATGACCAGAATTACTGGCCAGATAGAGACTGGTGAACTCCCAAGACTATGGCCCCGGGTTATCCTTCAGGCCTGGAACTAGATTAACCTCAGCCACACAACAGAAAAACAAAAAACAGAAAGGCCTATGAAAGGAACATCTACCCCAGGGAGATCCACCCCTTAGAATAATCAACCAGGAGAGATCAAAACGGCATCATTTCCATAGGGAAAAACCTAAGGGATGGGGTAGTCACAGGGAGGAGGTGGGAGGAGAGCTGTTGATTGTTGGGATTGTAATTAATTGGTGCTGTAAAATCAAATGACTATGAACTGCTGCCAGTAAAACAAATCTGCCTTGCAAATTTGCACCCAAATCATAATACAAAATTTGAAGAGAGAAAGCCTTTTAACTTTTATAAAACTGTAGCTAGAGGGACAAATAATGTTTCAGTACAATGACTAGAAAATAAATTTTGGCACATGATTAAGTAAAACCTTTAACAGAGTCATTCTTATTTTTTTCTGAAGATTTAAAAAACAAAAACCTTTCTGCTACAAAGAAAGAGAAAATTGGAGCTCTGTTTATTGTCTTTAGAGAGTAATTTTGTCAATCTGTTATATGAAAGCACTCATTCTTTATGTGTCCCTTTAAATAAGGATAGAACTTGTGCTTAAATAATTGTATTGGGTGTCTATAAGCAGTCTCAAGTTTGGGGAAGTAGATAGTATCAAGCATAAATGTTTTATATTAGTACACAAATTACTCAGAGTTTCTTCTGTGTGTTAGTATGAAAAGAAGTTCATAAATTTTTCTGAATCTTCAACAGCTTATGGGGTAGGTAGGTAAACTCATTCTACAAGTAATTCCAGTTCAGGCATTCCTTGGAGATATTGCGGGTTCAGTTCCAGACCACGGCAGTAAAGCTATAACACTAAAGCGAATCACACAAATTTTTCGGTTTTTCAGTGCATATAAAATCCATGTTTACCATTACTGTAGTGCAAAAACGCCAAGGAGGCCACATGTTCTGACCTCCTCTAATCTCACAAGAGGAAGACAGCAGTAACCCAAGGCCTATTACTGCAAGGCCAAA